TTTTTTTTATTGGTCTTATGGAGTATTCTAATTTGTTGAGATAGTGAGTTGGTGGGTTTTTGTTAAATGTGAGCCAAAATCATCACAATTAAAAGGACCAAAGACTTAAACTACTTCAGTCTGTGTGCATTGCATTTATTTAATACACGAGTTTCACAATTTGAGTTGAATTACTGAAATAAATGAACTTTTCCACGACATTCTAATTTATTGAGATGCACCTGTATTTGATGCATATATTAAATTAAATACCTGAAGATTGTCATATTTAATGAATGTTCAGCTATTACAAGCCTTCATACCACTAAAAAAGAAGTACCTTAGTACTACCATAGAATTTGAGTAGTATCAGATATGAAAATGGCAATCATGCATTTCTAAGGTAGTGTATATATAGAGCCATGGTAATACCATCATTGTACCATGGTACGGTCACTGTACTTCTCAAAAGTGTTTGAACAGCTGCTCTTGTTTATCTGTAGCAGTGGTTATAACAGTATATTACATTTGACAGGAATGAAATTACAGTGTTTTCAATGTGTTGTATTGTGTAGGCCATCAGGTCACTTCTAATTTTCACTGGCCTGAGTTTTTTGTCTATTGGAAATTAGTAAAATATTTCATTGTTTATATTACATATTTCAATGATGATTGATTGTTTTCCAGGTGCACACCTTCCTTTAAAATCAAAAATTAACCCTATTTACTTTCTTGATGCAAATTCCTGGTCATAATAAGGTACATGATTCACTGGCACACAAGGGTTTTTCTTTTAAAATGTTGTTTTTGTAATCTTTTCAGGATTAGGAAAGTTGCCAAGCCCTCTTATTTTTCACCCCTCCTCTCCAACCGCCTGTCATTGAGACCAATTTCATAATCAAAATAAACTGTAATGGATAAAACATGTTTTTCTAATTGAAAGTCTAGTTTTACGCAATGTCATTACAGAAGTAAAATGGGTTTTGAATGTTGTTTTATGTTTTTGCACATGGCTCTTGAACCCAACAGAATAATGTGCTCTAATTACTGTGATGGTGCATTGTTTACGTTGCCTGGCAGTAATATTGTAATATTGACAGCTAGTGGTTGAAATGGATACTGCAGTTCAAATTCAAATATTGGAGAGCGTTGTTTCTCCCACCCTCCTCCTCAGACTCAACGCTCATGCAGGTTGCCAGATGCAACAAGGAACAAACTCAATTGACATGTTAGGCAACAAACCTTACACTGTAAGTTGAGGAGTTGTTTTATCTGTGTTTTAATATTCCTGTGCTCATAGAGCTTTTTCGATGGATGCCAAGGCTTTTTAATCAGGTAGAATTTGCGATCTCTGACCTAGTTTGTTTGCTGGCTTCCATTGCTGCAACATGCTGTTTTACGCCAACTGGCATCCCGGGGTGTCAAAATAATATTGGGTAAACTGGTAGTGGGCGGAATCACACTGACCAACACAAAAACAGACATTCCGACACAGAACTCACATTTCAAAGCAAAATAACTGGCTGTAGCTTTGTTTGTTGGAGAAACAAGTATGTGTGAACTTAGCATGCTTCCTAAATATCTGCAAATATTATGGTATTTTTATGCAGTCAAAAAATTGCATACACCTTTAAAGGTCCCATATTTTACACCTTTCTGGAGTTTTATTTTAGGTTTTGATGTCCTTAAGAATATATATTTGCGGTATAAGTACCAAAAACCATCTCAATATATTTTTACAGCTCCTCTCTCAGGAGCTCTGCTGAGAACAGGTCGATTTTGGCCTGTCTAATTAATATTCATGAGCCTCTCTTCTGATTGGCCTGTTGTTTTCTGAGTGACGCACGGCCAGGCCAAGCACAGGTAACTAGGGTCAGCCGACGTCACAGCGCTAGCTGGAGGCAGCAAAACAAAGGGGAAACTGGAGGCGGCCCATTCAAACCAGCGCAGATTCGTCTACATAAGGAGCTTAAAATATCATCTTGTTGTGATGTTGGGTGCCAGAATCGACGTAATACAGCCTCAAATTAGAAATTTGATCGCATATCTGCTGCCACTGCCAGACAAAAAACCGACGATAGCTGTGGTTAAACGCGATAAAACGAGCAGACTGGACAGAAACGATCGTCACAAATGCTTGCGTTTGCAGCGCACACTTCTTATCAGAAAAGGTTCAATAAAGTATTGTCTTTTGTTGTTATGGGTGCGTCTACAGATTTCTTGCCATATGTCTGTTTCTTGCATCTCACGACTATGTCGTGTATGAAATAATGTCTGTGTGCATGTGTGTAAAACAACAAACTGACGATTTATATATAATCATTTGTAATTGTATATACATTGTTGTGATTAATTGTGGCTGGAACAATAATGTAGCTGTAAAAATAGTTGCCTGCTGAAATTGAAATGTATATACATCTTCATCATGACTAGATAGACACAATGAGTTTGTCTATACACGTTAGATGTGATCCACCTCATAGTAACAATCCTGTCAGATCGTCCATCCTTTGAGTGAGAGTGTAACGTTACAGGTCGGCCGATCTGGTTTCGTGGTTAAAGTTAACCTTTTCGACATGTTTCCCTGTTGTCATTGCTCAGCAAAAGCATGGACGCGATGTTGTCTGGGGGTTTAGCAAAAGGAGAGTGGGACTGTGGGCAGTGCTCGGGTGGTGACTGAAGGCGGTGACTGTGTAGTTCTGATGTCAACTTTTTACGGAAGTCACAACGGTTCGTGAAAAATCACAGCTACTTTAAGCAGGCTGTGTGAATTTTACTGTGGACTGACTGTTTTGAAACTTATATGGTAGTTACAGCACCTAGACCTCAGTTATCATGAAAAAGGCCAGAAAATTTCAGTTTTGACAATATGGAACCTTTAAAATAGTGATTAAGCAAGATATACTGTGCAGTAAAACATAAATAAACCATCTTCCTAAAAACATTTATATTGTATGTTTTAATGCAGGTAAAAAAAAAGTACTGTGGTGGTAACCATAGTAAAATAATGAAATCATATAAGAAATACTATGATGTACACCTAGATATTCAAAGAATACATGGCATGGCAAACATGGTAATTCTGTTGACACATTTAGGTACTTTTTAGTTAGTGGTATGAAGGCATTCTCGTAATGGCTAAACATTCATAAAATATTATCGTCGGGTATTCAATAATAATAAATTCGAATCATGCTAACAGCAAAAACCTTATAAGGAATATTTTAAATCATAAATAACACAGTGGCAGATTTTGGCAGAATATAGTCCAAACAAAGCTTGTCCACAGTCTAAACACAAACACGTTTCCAAATACACACACACTTGGCAGCATCGCTGTAAGGTACAAACTCATTATACATTAAAATAAGCAACATCAAAATGTCCAGCAGTTTGAGCCCCTTGGGGTCTGAAAGATCACACACACATATTCAATCACAGATATGTACAGCTACACTCAGTCCTAGATAAATATATACCTATACACTCAAACACACATGCTGAGTGTCTTCCTTGAGGCGAGTGTTAGGTTCAGCCATCTGTATATAACCCAAGCCCTCTGATTTATATTCCCACCTCAAAGCCGCTTTTGATTTATTTTGCATGAAAAGGGTTTGCGAGTGTGGGATGTGCTTTGTGGAAGGTTCACTTGCAGGACCAGAGGGCCAGTATTCTCTCTACTTTTGAGCAGAAGGGTGGACACAGTGTAAGCAGAGATGGATTCTCATAAATTGAGATCAACTGGTGTGGTGTTATGGAGCTCTTTCTCTTTGATTTTCTGTAAAAAAAAAAAATTGCAAAACAGTGGATTTAAAGTGGTAGCTCATCCCAAAATAACAATTCTGTCATTATCCCCTCAAACCCACCCCCCCCATATACTTTTTTTTTTCCTGTGGAACATAAAATGCAAAAATGTTGCAGAATACTTATGCTTTTCCATAAAATGGGCTTCATTCATGAAATACGCAGAATGTGTAAATCCTGTATAAACTATAAAATGATTATTTGTACATAATAATGGAAAGGAATGATTTTACAAACAAAATCTTTTCTGCTCATGTTTCACGAATTCACATTGTTCACAGCAAATATTCACCTGTGGCAAAGCTCTTAATTTCACATATGCTGTTTAATGATATTTTGTGCCAGGATTAATGTCCCTAAGGTCAAATGCTTCCAATTGTGAAGCTGCAACTTTGAT